TACACATGCCACGTGGTAATCTCGGCCTACTAAATTTATTTTTACCGAGATTCCACCACACTGGAACCTGTGTCTGGTGTGAATTACTTCAGGGAGCGTGCACGCATTGTTTCACTGATTTGGCCAGGGGCAGATACACAAAGAAATAATCAATACCTTGATTGATTTTTCCATTTCAGAAGGTATTGTTTGGGCAGCCATAAAACAGTGTCAGATTTATTCACTGACTAAAGTCTGAATTGCTAGGATTTCATAATAAATTTCAAAATGTAGGCCAATATAGCTGAATTAGTAAAATCATCCAAGTTAATTAAGTGGCAATTTTGTAAATGTTGGCTTACATTGACTAATATGATTTTTATTTTTTTTTACACCATCAGCAACTTTTAATCATCACATTTGCTTGCAGACATGTATGCAACATGCATAGCACATACATCTAAAATGTTTGACATATCAGTTTAAATTAATTGGCAGATGGGAATCACTATTTTAATGCTGACACTTATTAAAAATACATATAAAATGAAAATTTATTGACAAATGCATAATTTGTAGTGCATATAATACATTTACTAAAGTTAGCACAAATATTTCATTAGTCCTAAAATTGTACCGTTTTATTGGCTGCAGAAGTGGCATCTGCATTGTGGGAGTTGTACGACAAATGGAGATCTATCTTTTCACCATCCCTACAATGGTGGTGGGGGGCAAAAATACTCTTGCACAAGGGCTCTCTCGATTTTAGTTCCGCCATTGACCACAGGACATGTTCAGAGGTCTTGTAGAGCCCATGCCTCTACACATCAGAGCCGTTTTGGCAGCACGAGGGGGACCTACACGATATTAGGCAGGTGGTTTTACTGTTTAACCCCTTAAGGACACATGACATGTGTGACATGTCATGATTCCATTTTATTCCAGAGGTTTGGTCCTTAAGGGGTTAAAGGGACACTACAGTTTATTGAATTTGTTCTGGTGAGTAGAATCATTACCTTCAGGCTTTTTGCTGTAAACACTGTCTTTTCAGAGAAAATGCAGTGTTTACATTACACCCTAGTGATAACTTCCCTGGCCACTCCTCAGATGGCTGTTAGTGATCCTTCATGGGTCATGGCTGCCTAAAATGCATCCAAACATTCAGTATCCCCTCCCTCTGCATGCAGACACTGAACTTTCCTCATAGAGATTCATTAATTCAATTCATCTCTATGAGGAGATGCTGATTGGCCAGGGCTGTGTTTGAATCATGCTGGCTCTGCACCTGATCTGCCTCTTTGTCAGTCTCAGCCAATCCTATGGGGAAGCACTGTGATTGGATTAGGCTACTACTTCTGATGATGTCAGTAGGCTGAATTTTTTTTTTTTTTTTTTTAGGCAAACAGCATGCAGATCTACAGCTTCTGTCTTAACCCCTTAAGGACACAGCTTCAGAAGCTTGACTTACGCTTAATGACACAAGCAATTTTTGCATTTTCTTGCTGTTTGCGTTCAACTGCAATTTGCATCTCTCTCATTTATTGCACCGACACATATTATATACTGTTTTTTAAAGGACAGAAAGGGCTTTAATTTGATATAACATATATATATATAAATGCTTACTTATTATAAAAAAAATACAGAAAAATGCAAAAAAAATGAAAAATATTGGTTTTTTTTACAGTTTTTGCAATAATAATGTGTGCATAATTAGTGCAGGTTAAGGAAAGTAATTAAAAATAAATTTATTTATTTGTTCTGATTTACAGAATATATAATGTGTCTGGGATTTTAAGTTTTTTTTGGTAGTTACAGGTCACAAAGCACAAGGAGTAAAATAAAATTTTAATGTGGAGCGATTTTAGAATTTGGTATGTTTGTCTTGTAAGCTTAATAGCCATAAAAGAAAACAAAATTGCCACACAAAAGTATATATTTATATAAAGTAGACATCACGGGCTATTTACCTAAGGTTGTTTTGACACTTTCTACGTAGCCATATTACCGCCAACCTCTG